GGTGGCCGGGGGGTCACCTCAATCGGGGTGGCACCGGCACTCGCATGTGCACCGCATTAAATGCGGTAGGTGGATGTGACGTCGCATTAAATGCGGTGGTTGACTGTCTCTAAAAGGAATCTTCGCCGATAGTTCTGTGGCCGAAGGCATTGCGTGTCCGAAGGCATCATGTGGCCGAAGGCATTGTGTGGCCGAAGGCATTGTGTGGCCGAAGGCATCATGTGGCCGAAGGCATTGCGTGTCCGAAGGCATCATGTGGCCGAAGGCATTGTGTGTTCGAAGGCATCATATGGCCGAAGGCATTGTGTGGCCGAAGGCATGGTATGGCCGAAGGCATTGAGTGACCGAAGGCTCTGGGCGGGTACTAGGCCGAAGGCTCTTCTAATCGGGGGCTCGATTATGCCGAAGGCTGTATGTGCTGAGGCTTGGTTTTAAGCCTTGTTCTCTTGTGATGTCTCTGAGCTCAATTCCGTCACTGGTAGCCTTCGGCCATGGGGCCGAAGGCCCCCCCTTTGCATATTGTGGGATGCTTAGAGCTCCATTTTGCTGGGCTTGGCCCGTTTGGTCCTGTTGGGCCTGATTGCAGTAGTGGAAGTATGTGGGCCGGGGTGTCCCAGACCATATACTCCATCAAATAGCTCTCAAGGCTCGAGAAGAAGAAGAATCTGAAAGTGAGTCGGAAGACGAAATGAGCATCTTTGCATAGCAATTCGGAAAGATGTACCGGAAATTCAAGGGCAACCGAAATAAGCAAGGTAAGAAAGGTTTTCAATCTTTTAATAACCAAGGTTGTTTTGTTTGTGGGTCCTTTGAGCACATGGCAAAAGATTGTCCTCAAAAGAAAAATGATAGAACCGACGACAAGAACAAGATGAGTTTTCACTGAAGGTCTAGTGAAGGTAAATGGTTCAACAGAGACCTCAAGAAGGCAATGATGGCAACTTGAGGAGATTCATCGGATGATGATGAAGAAGAAGATGAAAAGAGCTCCAATCAGGCAGGGTTATGCCTCATGGCTAATTCCGACGAAGAATCCGACCAAGAGAATTTCGAGGTAAACTTAGAAAGCTTTCTATCTAAATTTGATTCCCTCTCGAAAGGCAAGGTTCGGAATTTTTTTAAAAGATTTACTATCGAGCTTAATCAAAGTCTTTCTGAAAACGACAATCTTAAATCACAAATCATCGAACTTGAGTCTAAACTAGAGGAAACCACTAGAGCCAAGATAAGGCTGAAAACAAAAGTGGGAGAGTTAATAGATGAAAGGCTCAAGTACATTGAAGTGGTCTTAGAACAAGATAATCTCATTTGCTCACTCAAGCTCGATAGCATGAACAAACAAGTTAATGATGAAGAAAAACTACTAAGAAAAATTCCGGACATTGCCTTGCTCATCAATCATCTTAATCGCCTCGAAGACGAGAGACAAGATTTCAAAAATAAACCAGAATATCAGCCGTATAGTACAATAGATAGAACCAGGTCCAGACATTATTCTGGAACTGAACCCTCTCGGTACAAAAGAAAGGAAAATGAGATTGCTGGTCTCGGATAAGTTCCAAGAGACACCCAAATGAATCAAAATCCTACTTTTCAGAACCAATCCTTTTATGGTAATAGAACTAGAGGACAAACCAGTTCTAGGCCGTATCAAACGCAATCTAGAACTAGACCAACTTGGTTCGATAGATTGGTTCAAAAGCACAAAATTGGTTATGGACAAACACCTAACCGAGAGTTTTATTAAAGGGGCAAAGATTGTTTTGGAAATTAGAAAACTAAATACATTGATACATATGATAGCCGAATTTGCGGGCATTGTGGCAAAGACGGTCATCTTAGGTATCAATGTCACTCTCGGCAACAGGCCTTAGAAAGAAGCTTTAATCATATTAAATTTTCCTCAAACAAATACAAAATGGAATCCAAGCAGGTCTGGGTTCCACGCACTAAACCTTAATCCTGGAACAACGCCGAGTGAGGGGAACAATCACTGGTTCCTTGACAGTGGTTGTTCCAAGCACATGATGGGAGATAAATCTTTATTCCTCTCACTGCAGCCATTTAACGGAGGAAAGGTGACATTTGGAGACAACAGTAAAGGAGAAATCATTGTTGTGGGAAAAATTGGAAAGTCACCTGACCATACAATAGACAATGTTTTCCTAGTCAAGGGTTTAAAGTTTAATTTGCTTAGTATTTCCCAATTTTGCGATCGAGGTAATAGTGTAGTTTTTGATCATAATGTATGTCGCATTGTTAATAACGAATCACAGCAAGTCATACTAGAAGGCAAGAGACTTGAAAATACCTATAAGGTTGATCTCGACTTGTTGCCAAGCATAAGTCTAACTTGTCTAAGCGTTATTGACAATGATCCCCTACTTTGGCATAAAAGGCTGGGCCACGCTAGTTTTTCATTAATAAATAAACTCAAAAATAATGAATTGGTAGTCGGGCTACCTAAAATAAAATATTCCCTTGATCATATTTGCTCCGCTTGTGCCACCGGAAAACAATCTCGATCATCTTTTAAAACAAAGAATTTTGTGAGCACAAGCAAGCCCATTGAACTAATTCATATGGATTTGTGTGGTCCAATGTCAGTCCGAAGTCGGGGAAACAAAGAATATGTTTTCGTTATTGTTGATGACTTTTGACGTTATACTTGGACTATCTTTCTTGCAAGCAAGAAAGATACATTTAATGAGTTTGTTATTTTTGTAAGGAAAGTTGAGCATCAAACAGGACTACAACTGATTAAGATCCGATCGGATCATGGAACTCAGTTTGACAACTCACTATTTGATGCATTCTGCAAGGAACGAGGCATAGACCACAACTTCTCTGCCCCTAGAACTCCTCAACAAAATGGGGTAGTAGAACGAAAGAATAGAACCTTGGAGGACATGACTAGAATAATGCTGATTTCCAGTGGTCTAGCGAGAAACTTTTGGGCAGAAGCACTAAACACGACATGCTATATAATTAACCGTGCTATGATCCGTCCACTCCTAGGGAAGACACCCTACGAACTACTCAAAGGGAAAAAACCCAACATTAGTCATCTAAGAACATTTGGATGCAAATGCTTTGTTCATAACAATGGGAAAGATAACATTGGCAAGTTTGATGCAAGAAGTGATGAAGCAGTCTTCCTCGGATACTCAACTCATAGCAAAGCTTACAAAGTTCTAAACAAACGCACACAATGCGTGGAAGAAAGTATCCATGTAATCTTTGACGAAGCCCTTTCATTAAAACCAAGGCAAGATGATGAAGGAGATATAAGACTCTCTCGTAAAGAAAGATAGCCCCAAGAAAACAGTGAGACAAACCTTGAGGAACCACTGGATAACGAACGAGCCGAGTCTAGAACTGAAGAAGAACCAGGACAAACCACAACCAGTCAGACTGTAGAACCTGCTGGTCCAGTTCCAGATACTCTATACGAACTGGTGGACCAACCAAACGCTCCAAGAGGGTGGAAGCATCATCGATCACATCCCTTGGATAACCTCTTAACAGATCTAAATCAGGGAGTAACCACTAGATCTAAACTTAGAAATTTTTGCGCTTTCTTTGCTTATTTATCACTTATAGAACCGGAGAACCGTGAAGTGGCTCTCTCCGATGCTGACTGGGTTCTAGCTATGCAGGAAGAACTAAATCAATTTGAGAGGAACAAGGTGTGGCATCTAGAACCAAGACCTAAGAATAAAACCGTGATAGGTCTCACCAAATGGGTATTTAAGAACAAGCTTGATGAGCATGGACAAATCACAAGGAACAAAGCAAGGCTTGTTGTAAAAGGCTATAACCAACAGGAAGGAATAGATTTCAACGAAACATTTGCACCAGTGGCAAGATTAGAGGCAATACGAATGCTCATAGCATTTGTGGCTCACATGGGATTCACACTCCATCAAATGGATGTGAAAACGGCCTTCTTGAATGGTTATCTTAAGGAAGAGGTATACGTAGAACAACCACCGGGGTTTGAAAATCCAGATTTTCCTAATCATGTTTTCAAATTAGATAAAGCACTTTATGGTCTCAAACAAGCGCCTCGTGCTTGGTATGAGCGATTATCTAAATTTCTTTTGGAAAATGGTTTTGAAAGAGGAAAAATAGATAAACTCTTTTTCTAAAACTAAAAGATCAAGCTCTATTGGTTGTTCAAATTTATGTAGATGGTATTATTTTTGGTGCTACTAACGATTCACTGTGCGATGAATTTTCTTCTCTTATGAGTTCCGAGTTCGAGATGAGTATGATGGGAGAACTAAACTTTTTCCTTGGTCTAAAAATCAAACAAACAAGCAAAGGAACCCAAATATCTCAACAAAAGTACCTTAAGGAACTTCTCAAGAAGTATGGAGCAAGTGAAGGCAAAACAATGACGACACCTATGGGAACAAATGAACGATTGGATGCAGATGAACAGGGAATAAGCATGGACCAAAAGAAGTATAGAGGCATGATTGGGTCTCTACTATACCTAACTGCTAGTAGACCTGACATAGTTTTTCAGTATAGGTCTATGCGCTCGGTTCCAGGCAAATCCTAAGGAGTCACATCTCAAGGCGGTTAAAAGGGTCCTCAAATATCTCAAAGGAACTACGAATCTATGCTTATGGTATCCACGTAATGAAGATTTTAACCTTATTGCATATTCAGACTCTGATTTTGAAGGCGATTTACTAAATAGGAAAAGCATGTTTGGAACGGCTCACTTCCTAGGTCCTTGCTTAGTTTCATGGAGTTCTAAGAAACAAAACTCAGTTGCTCTTTCAACAGCCGAAGCTGAGTACGTGGCAGCCGCATCTTGTTGCTCACAATCCTTGTGGATCATGCAACAAGTGAGTGACTACGGGATCAACCTAAATTGCACGCCAATCTTATGCGACAACACCAGTGCGATCAGTATTTCAAAGGATCCGGTCATGCATTCTCGGACAAAACATATCCATATTCGTCATCATTTTCTGAGAGATTGCGTGGAAAAGGGACTAATCAAGTTGGAATATTGCAATATCGACAAGCAAATTGCCGACATCTTTACAAAGCCCCTGGGAAGAGAAAGGTTTGAATTAATTCGACTTGAACTTGGTCTAATCAATGCTTAAAATTAATTTTTCCTTTATTCTTGATGGATAAGTGTACCCGAGGGTATATATCCGAGGGGTTACTGTGGGGAGTAACTAGAGAGATGTCAGAGCAAACAAGTAAGAGAGAGAATATGTATTCAGTGTGAATTCAGCGTATTCAGAATATGGTTTACAAAGGGGAAATGGGGTGCTATTTATAGTAGTAATAAATGCGAGACGGGGACACGTGTCAAGCATCCAACGGCCGAGGGGTCACATCAACCGGGTGGCACTGGCATTCGCATGTGGCCGCATTTAATGCAGCAGTTGGATGTGACGTTGTACTTGGTACAGCGATCCAGGCGCATGTGGAGAGGATATTGTTGTCGAGGAAGGTACCCTCGGCTGTAGATGATTAGCCGAGGGCTCTTCTTGTCGAAGGCCCCTTAAGGCCGAGGGCTCCAGGTGCCGAGGACTACTAATTTTCGCCTTTTTCTCCCAGTAGCTTTGTATGCTTAAAATAGCATTTCTGTGAGAATTTGGAGCCTTCGGCCAGGGGGCCGAAGGCACCCCTGTGTGCTCCGTGGGTTGCTTGGTACCCGGGGCGCTGCAATTTGGGCCTGCTGTGCTTCCTGGGCCTCTTGGGCTTTTATTAGGATAGTAGGAGTCTATGGGCCGGGGGTCCCTGGGCCATATACTCCATCAGGAGTCCCTCACTCCTTTTGCCGAAAGGTATTTGAGGGAAAAGGGGTAATTTGTGCTTGTCCTCTGCCGTTGTTCCGTTGTAGCTTGTAAAGTTGTGAGGAGTTCTCTGTTTGAAAGTTTTTGCCGAAGGGAGTCCCTCAGTCCCCCACATTTTGGGGATCGAAGGGTTGTGTTGCTACTTTGGGGAGTTTTTGATATTTTGAGATTTTCCCGAAGGGGTTCTCCAGTCCCCTACTCCTTGAGGCACTTGTGAAGTGGTGAAAAGGAGTAGAGTATTGCCTGCTGTTGTAGGTGGCCGAAGGTTGACACTTTTCGTTTCATTTTGGGGGGGTGCCTCGTTAAAAACCCCATTAGAAAAAACCCTGTGGGAAAAAATTCTAATGAGGGAAAAAGAGTGCACCGAATTCCCCCAATGATGAATCGATAAGGTGAAACCTTAGTCTGAGACTGACGACAGTGTTGTAGCCGAAGGCTATCCTTGTCTGAGGGCGCGTGTGTTGATTTGCCGAAGGCGCGCTGTTGATATCCCGGGAGATGCCGAAGGGGAGTCCCTCAGTCCTTGGGGCTGAGGGCGTGTTGGATGTGAGTGGTAGTTCTTGTACTGCCGAGGGGATATCCAAGACCATCCCTAGATCCTGCATGAAAAAGCTGAGGAGCTTGTAAGGACCCCCCGTTGTCAAATAAAGGTGACGGAGGGGTGCAAGGCCAGGTGGGCCTGTGTGAGAGACCCTAGCATCTAATACAGATGCCGGAGGGATGGAGACCGAGGGGCCTGTATGACAGTCCCTCGCATCAAATAAAGATGTCGGGGGGATTAAGGCCGAGGGACCTTTGGTGATGTGAAATCACGCTAAGGCAAAAACCGTTGTGACGTAGAGTCACGCTGACGCCGAGGGGTTCCCTGCAATTATTGATGAGGGGTTTTTGAAGTTGTAGCCCGGGGGTTCCTTGGTCCTCAATGCGTTGAGGGCTAAAGGTTCCCGAGGGGTCTCCCCCTTGTGAAACCGGGGGCTCGCTTTGGTGAGGGAGTGCGAAGGAGCAACCCGAGGGCATGTCTACTGCTTGATGAAGGAGTGTTTGGCCGAGGGGGCCCCTCGGGTTCCCAGAATATGGCCGTTGTAATATGACCGTTGGAGATGGAGTCCATGTGGCACGTGGCTATTGGCTACCTATGGGCGGGCGTCACCGGTTGGGCAATTTGACGGTTCATAATGATGATTTTTCCATCGGGGGCCCAATTTCCGGCCCAATCCCGGATATGGGTGCCTATAAATACCCCAAGGCCAGGGGCCGTTCTCCTTGTGCGATCATTGTAGCGAAGCTCTGGCAATTTGATTTCTAGAGAGAGAAAATCCCCCTCAGACAAAATCAAAACTCCCCAAGGTCAGTTGTTCCCTTTGTTCTTGAGTTCCTTAGCATTTATTTTGCTATTTCGCCCTTAGGCAAAGTGCTAGAGTTGTTTAGGAAGCCTCCGGTTTTAGAAACCCTTCTGCTTTAGTGTAAGAAATGTCATCCCAAAGCGATTCACAAGACATCTCGAGGGAGCCCTCGACTGATGATGAAGTGGTTTCCGATGTGGAATCCATAAGCGAGCCCTCAACTGGCGATGATGCTATTGTGGCTATGGAGATGCAGAAGGTCCTCGTCACCGAAGCCGAGGCCGAGGACTTCGAGCAGGTGATGGAGGACGAGGAGCTCGCCCTCGCTGTGCAGACTGTTGAGGAAGAAGAGGAGAAGGAGAGAATGAGGGTGACTATCGTTGTTCTTCCCCCTCGCGATGCCGGTGAAGCGAGTAGCTCCCGGCCGCTGAACCCGACGCCTCTTAGGGCGGCTCCCGAGAAGAAGAAGAAAACAAAGGTTGCCGCTCCCAAGAAGAAGGGCAGGGTTGTTGACCAAGGAAAACCCGTTGATATGCTCGAGGGCTATTCTTTTCTGAACACCGCCGCCCTCGAGATAACGTCGAAGGCTGACAGGGCGGAGTTCTATGTCACCCAGCTGCATGTGGGGCCTTCGGCGACGGTGGTGGAACCACGTCCCGAAGACGTCTTGTTCCGAGCCCCTGAAGGGTGTATAGCAGTCCATATACTCTCGGTTTCCATGGGCCTTAAGTTCTCATTGCATCCCTTCCTTCGGGAATATCTCAGGTACGTTGGCCTAGTCCCCTGCCAACTAAACCCCAATAGCCATTCATACATCACCGGGTTCTTGAATCTCTGCCGGCTCAGGGGGTGGCCCCCAGTTTGGACTTATTCTTCCACAATTTCAATCTCTGTCGGGGAGGCCACGCGGATGCCGAGGGCTTCGGGAACCTGCAGCAGCTAGCTCAGTGGAAGCTATTTACCGAGGCGCCCTCCTTAAACAAAGGGTGGAAGGAGCGGTGGTGCTATGTCAAGCTAGACCAGAGTCCATTCCCGAGGGAGCTGTGAAACCGATTCAAGCGACATGAGAAGGTGAGGAACGCCGCCCTTGAGAAAGATGGCCTTATACTCGCCAAGATCCCGGAGGGGCATAATAAGAACGTGGCGATCAAGGAGTGCACCCTCAAGAAGGATCTGCATGCTCTCAGGTTCCGACGGTACCGTTTTCTGGGGGGGACGGATGAAAAGTACCCAATCTTGGATAGGGCCTTCGGGGGAGCGGGAGGTAATAACCGAGGGCTTTGAGTCTTGTACTTAGGAAGTTTTGCATCTTTTGATTGTCTGTTCATGCTTTCTACCCCTTGGTCTAACCCCCCCCCCCCCCCCCCCTTTTTTTTTTTTGCAGGTGCAAATATGAACACCGATGCCCTCTTCGCCATGAAGAAGAAGAAGGGGAAAGCCCCATTTAAGAAGAAGGACCCTTTGGGCCAGCAGCTCGTTGAGGCCTTCTTCCAGAAGGAGATACCGGAGCCCTCTGTTGTGGCTGCCGCCGCTGATGTGGCCAGGGGGCACAAAGAATAAGAAGGGTAACAAGGGGGTTGAGCCCCCTGCCAAGATGCAGAAAGTTGCTGGGGATGTTGCTGAGAAGGCGGCCCCCGTTGTGATTATAGAGGGTCGGTCCTCTGCTGAGCCCCCGGCCTGAGCCACACAGATGGCCCCTTTCAACGACCCTTCGGGGGAATTTTCTCGGGAGACCTTTCAGGTTCCCCTCGTCAAGGGGACTGCAGTGATGTACGGCACAATAGAGCCGAAGGCTTTTCTGGGGAGCATCACCTCGGATCTGGATAGAAAGGCCCTCGGGACCTTTGATGATGAGGGCCTCGAGAACAAGATCCTCCGGTCGTCGCTCACTGTAAGAACCTTCCCTTCGTCCATGTTTCAATACTTAGCATGTGCTTGTCTAACCCCTTTGCTTGTTGCATTTCAGGCTTGCATTGCCTTCGGTGAGCAAGCTCGAAGGCTCGAGCAGTGGCGCCTCCATAAGGCTGAGTAGGACGAGCAGGTGAAAGAGCTTGTCCATAAGAATTCTGGCGCCATAAAGCAGATGGCTCAATTGGAGGAGGACCTTCGGCTAGCGAGGGCGGAGGCTGAGAGGGTCAGGGCAGAGAGGGCCGAGGCCGAGAGGATCCATGCCCAAGCCATGAAGAAAGCCGCTGATGAGGCTAAGGCCGCCGAAGGCGAGGCTGTGGCCAAAGCTCGAGAGGAGGCCGTCGCCGAATTTATCGCCGAGGGCTGGAGGGCCGAAGGCCGAGAGGAATGGGTTGCTTCGGTGGTGAAGGCCTCGGTAGATGCCTGGGTGGAGGGTCCTGGGGTTGACTGGATGACCGAGAGGGGTGACAGCTATTACCAGGGGTGAATTTTTCACCCAGCATCTGATCTTCCGAAGGCTTTCCAGGCACTTCAAAGTTTCTCTTGATGAATTTGACCCGGCGGCATACAGCCTCCCCCTCTGCAGCCTGATGTAAGAGCCCCTCTCCCCCCGGGCGAAGAAAGACCAGTCATTCATGATTCTATGATGATGGGGGAGGATGGTGATGGCGGTGCTGATGATGATGCTATCTCCAAGCCTGCTGAAGAGGTTGCACCCAGAGCTGATAATGTCTAACTTGTACTTAGAGATATTTTTGGACAATATTTGTAACCAACATTGTATGTTTTCGGCTTCGGCCATTGTTGTAAACAAACATCCTTTGTATTTTAATGTTTCCCTCTGATTGAATGAAGTGCCTTCGGGCTTTGGTGTTTTTGACTTTGCTTTTCCCTTGAATGTATGCCTTCGTCTTTCCTTCGTGTATGAATGTATGCCCGGGGGCCAAATGTTCAGGACTTAGAAAATTTTTCTAAGTGTAATTTCCACATTGAGCCTTCGGCTAGTAGACCCCTCCGTTTGTATGAGATAACAACCTTCGATTGATCGTGAGAGTCCCCATGCAGTTGTGCCCTTGGGTTGCGTGACCCCTCGGACTGCATTAACATTTGAGTGTTGAATATCAGCTAGCCTTCGATAAGTGTAACCCTCAGGATTTGGTGTAGCCGTCCTGAGTTCACCGAGGGCCAATATTTTTGAGTGTTGTAGTGGCTTGAGCCCCCGGTTGAATGTTGAGTTCACCGAAGGCCAACCGTATTAGGACTTAGAAATTTTTCTAAGTGTTGTTTAGTGCCAGGCCCTCGGTAGGTGCTTCCCCTCGATCTTGTATCGCAGTCAATCCGCCGAGGGCCAAGGCTTTTGGACTTAGGAAAAGGTTTCCCAAGTGTTGTATAGTAGTAAGCCTTCGGCTGATAGGCCCCTCAATTTGCATGGGGTAGGAGCCTCCTGGTGATCCGTATAGCAACGCCGGCTGACCGAGGGCCAAATTTCCAGGGCTTAGAAGTTTCTCTAATTGAGAGAGTACCAGGTTTCCTTCGGTTGGTAAGTCCCGCTGGCTTGTGTGATATTTTGAGTGAGGACCCCGTATTTAGGACTTAGAGAATTTTGTAAGTGTTGTTTAACACCTGGCCCTCGGTATAAGGGCCTTCAGGGTTGTAGCATTTTCAGGTGAGATCTCCCTTGACTATGATGGTAGTCCCGGGGACACCCAACTTCTTGGGAGACTTGCCTTCGGAGATGTGTAACAGGTGCCCTCATTCCTTGGTCACCAGATTATGATGTTGTGGACTTGGGAATTTTTACACTCCCACCATGGCATGATAAGATGAATACTCTCGGGCGAAGTTTGGGAAAGTCCCCTCGGTGTTTGGGTGACATGCTGGGGGCGATAGCTGCTTGGACTTGGCCAATACTTGATAACATTTGTCTTGAATCGTTGATGAGTGGACTTAGCCAATTTTATCCCTTTTGAGGGAGTAGATCTCTCGGTGTCAGTGACGCCGGAGGAAGCCAGAAAGTGGACTTAGCCATTTCTTGATGATATTTGTTGAGTAGTAGCCTTTGGGGACCGAGCATCGTCAAAGGTGTTCAATGAATAAGAACCTTCAGTTACCGGAAGTGTTCCACTAGGGAAGCCTTCGGTATATTGAAATTTCTTATAATGTCGAAGGGCGTTCTGATGTGAACTGTTGGAGTTGTGTACTCATTGATTTCTCGCTGAGTCTACTCCCCTTCACCCCCCCCCCCCCCCCCCCCTTTTTTTTGGGTAGTGAAGGGAAGGCTTCAAGAAACTTGGTTTCTTGGTAAGACTGGGCCTATCGGGAGGCAACAGAATACACCATTAGCTCCCCCCTCGGGGTAACCTTCCGAGTTCCGAGGGGATCGAGAATCGTTTCCTGGGCTTAAGACATAGTCTGTGGCCTGCCTCCCCTTGGGGGACGGCACGGAAAGCGCCTCAGTTTTGAAAGTCGTCCTCTCGGCGCGAGACATAATCTATGGCCTGCCATACCCTTGGGGTAATGGCGCGGGGAGCGTTTCGTTTTGGGAGTCGAATCTTGGGCATATTAGATGCCTGCCATGCCCTTGGGACAATGGCACGGAAAGCGTCCCGTTTTTGAAAGTCGAATCCTGGACATATTACTTGCATGTCCTACCCTTGGGATAGCAACGCAGAAAGCGTTTCAAGGAAGGGTTTTCATTTTCACACTGGTTGCAAATGGCCGGGGGCACTACGTGCTTCCGGTACCGATAGGTGGCGCCTTCGGTATAATGCATCCTCGAGGGGTACGACTTTAGAAACAACACTCGGTGTTTGTTTCAGAATGTGGCCCCCGGTACTTGGTACCGAGGGATCTTCAAAAACACTAGGTGTCCTTCTTCTGGAGTTGATAGGGGTGTGTACCCTCGGCACTTGGTACCGAAGGGTCTTCAAAGGAAACACTAGGTGTTTTCTTCCGCTGCTGAAAGTTGATAGTAGTGCGTACCCCCGGCACTGGGTACCGAGGGGTCTTCTTTGAGAACACTTGGTGTTTTTCTTCATTCGTTGTAGGGGATTGGGGTGTTTCCCCTCGGCATTTGGTGCCGACGGATCTCGCTTGTGATAAGGCCTTGGGCACAGGAGCTCATATGAGGGCTTGGCCGCTCATAGTCGTCTTGCTTCTTGATGTCTTCAATACGTCTTCATTTTCTTAAAAAATTGGAGGCCTTGGCCCGTAGGGTAAAACATTCACTAGTTATGAGGGCTTGGCCGCTCTAATATTACTAATAAATATTAACTAGGTGATGTACATTCCAATGTCTGGGAACCTCTGTCCCATTGGGGCGTTTGAGTTTGTACGTCCCTAGTTTGATGATGGCTGCGACGATGTAGGGGCCCTCAAACTTGGGCGCCATTTTCCCGCCCTCGGTTGGCTGGCTGGCTTCCCTCCTTCGGAGGACGTAGTCCCCCACTTGGAATTCCCAGGAGCGGACATTGGCGTCGATGTAGCTCTTGACTTGCCTTCGGTAGTTTTCCGCTCGCACGAAGGCCTGCTCTCGGCGTTCTGAAATGAGATGGAGGTCGAGGGCCATGTTGGCGTCGTTGACCTCAGGGTCATATTGGTCCACCCTTCGGGTAGGAAGGGTCACCCCCGTAGGAGCTTTAGCTTCGAATCCATAGCATAGGGAGAAGGGTGTTTCGCGAGTCGCGCGCCGAGGGGTGGTGCGGTAGGCCCAGAGGATGTTGTGGAGTTCTTCCACCCAGCCTCCCCCCTCGGTTTCCAGCTTCTTTTAGAGGCCTTCGAGCAATGTTCGGTTGACGTTCTCTACTTGGCCGTTGCCTTGAGGGTAGGCAACGGAGGAGAAGGTATGCTTGATGCCTCATGCCTACAGGAGGGCACATAATGGGGCTGCCTCAAATTGAGTCCCGTTGTCGGAGATGATTTTTTGAGGGACGCCAAACCTTGTGATGATGTTCTTGAGGATAAAACGACGACATCTGGCCTCGGTGATGCTGGCGAGGGGCTCAGCCTCCACCCACTTGGTGAAGTAGTCAATGGCGACGATGATGTACATGTTGTTGAGGTGCCCCTCGGTAGAGGGCCCACAAGGTCTATGCCCCATCGTGCGAAGGGTATAGATGTGCTGATGGGGGCATAGTTAACCGCTGGCCTGCCGGGGGCTTTCTGGAAGTGCTGACAGGCGGTACACCTTCGGGCGAGATCCGCACAGTCCCTGGCCATCATTGGCCAGAAGTATCCTTGGACAATGAGCCTTCAAGACATGGAGAAGGGTCCCTGGTGAGCGGAGCAAGTGCCACTGTGCACTTCCTCCATCGCAACTTCGGCTTCATCTTGATGAAGGCACCGAAGTAATGCCCCGTTGTATGATCTTTTGTAGAGCCTCCCGCCTTCGAGGGTGTAACTGGGAGCCCTCAGCTTTGCTAGTTTGGCGCGGGCCTCATCCTCGGGCAGTTGCCATGTGGTGATTAAGGCAGCGATGTCTGAGATCCAGTCCTCCTGCCTTTGCTGTATGTTCATGATGGGGCTAACATGTATGCTGGAGAGGTTGAGTTCCTCGATTTTGGTGATCTTGGATATGTGCTCGGGGGACTCGGCCGAGAGCTTTGATAAAAGGTCGGCCTCAGAGTTTTGAGCCCTCGGTATTTGGGTGAGAGAGTGTGCCTCAAATACCTTAAGCAACTCCTTGGCCGCTTCTTTGTACTGTTTCATCCTCCCTTCCTTGGCTTCATACTCCCCGGAAATCTGGCCCACGACTAACTTGGAGTCGCATTTGACGTGGATTTGTTGGGCCTTCATGTTAGCTGCCAGTCGAAGGCCACAGAGGAGGGCCTCATATTCCGCTTCGTTGTTGGAGACTTTGAAGGAGAAGTGGATGGCATAGTAGGCCCGGAAGCCCTCGGGCATAATGAGTACTACCCCTCCCCCGCATGCTTTGCGCCCGTGGCTGATCTTGCCATGCATTCCGTCACGAAGTCTGTCAGGGCTTGGCCCTTGATGGCGGGCCTCGGACGGATGTCGATGTTGTATTGGCTTAGAAAGATAGCCCATTTTACCATTCAGGAGGAGCTGGTGGGGCTCCTCATGAGGGCGCCGAGGGTTTGGTGCGTGAGGACCTGTACCGGATGAGCTTGGAAGTAGTGGCCCAACTTCTTGACGGTCCAAACGATGGCTAGCACCGTTTTCTCCGCAGGGGAATATCTGAGCACTACTTCCCTGAGGGTCTTGCTTACGTAGAAGATGGCATGTTGGATGATGTCTTCCTCCCGGATGAAAACTGAGCTGATGCCAGCCGGGCTGACGCCAAGGTAGAGGTACAGAGTTTCCCCCACCTTGGGTTTAGAGAGCACAGGGGGCGAAGATAAGTACCGTTTCAACTCCTCGAAGGCCTCCTGACACTCTGAAGTCCACTGGAAGCCGGTGGTTTTCCTCATGATTTGGAAGAGGGGTAAGGATTTTTCCGCCGACTTGGACAGGAAGCGGTTGAGGGCTGTCAGGCGGCCCGTCAGCCGTTAAACCTCCTTCACATTGCGTGGGGGCTCCATGTTGATGATGGCCTGAATCTTCTCGGGGTTGGCCTCGATACCCCTTCGGCTCACCGTGTAGCCCAACAATTTGCCTCCTTGCACGCCGAAGGTGCACTTTTTCGGGTTTAGCCGAAGGTTGAACTTTTGCATGATGGCGAAGATCTCTCTGAGGTCGTCAGCATGGCTTGTTGATTGCTTGCTTTTGACGATCATGTCGTCAACATATGCCTCCATGGTGCGCCCTAGGACGGCCTGAAATACCCTGGCCACCATCCGGGTGTAAGTGGCGCCTGAGTTTTTCAGGCCGAAGGCCATGACAAGGTAGCAGAAGATGCCCTCAGGAGTCACGAAGGCTGTTTTTTCAGCGTCTTCCTCGTGCATGAAAATTTGGTGGTAACCTCGGAAGGCATCGAGGA